GTGCAACGAGTTAAGAATCTACTATAACGTGGCTCCTAACCGCATTGCCACTCATTATTTCTCAAGCTGCTTCTCGAACAGATGGTGGATCTGCTGATACATCGCGATCTATCGGTATCTAACTTAAATCGTCGATAATAAATCCCATCTAGCCTGCTAGTTCTCTACAGTCGTAATTACTCCGAAAACGAATTTCGTATCAAAATTATTGGAAAAAAGACTAATGATATAAGCTGTTTTATTTTATACCTTTTATTATAGGAAAGTTTTTTAATTCATCGATTGATCAATCGCATTATGCGCAAATGCAGCTTTTATGGAGCAAAGTTGCATTTATGCATAATGCGATTGATCAATCGATGAATTAAAAATACTCATCTTTTTCCCGTAATGATACTGATAAAGTAAAATAGAATAAAAAGAATAAGTTTTAACAATCTTATTTAAGAATCGAAGAGTTTCATCTGTTATTCATCAACAGAACCGAATCGTTTCAATAACTTAGACTTCATTAAACAAAGCGTTTTAATAGACAGTAATTGTGACATTTCTTATGCAATAAAATTATACGTCATTCATTACTTAATAGAACCAGTTCGATTACGAAACTTGATATTACGAAGCTCTGACGTAATGCAAATAAAAAGTACACGATATATATCGATATCCTTCAACTGTTGTACTGTCTGTTTTATGTATAACTATAATATAACATGCCCTATATAGTATATGTACACCGGCATCATTGCATTCTGATATTCGAGCACGTATATACGTATATACAATGTACATATTAAGTCGGTTCAATGACCATCTTGATCAAAGATTGAAAATGACACAAGCATCCGGCTTTTTCTCTTCGCGATAAGGTTTCAGGTTGAATAGAGCACTCCGACTGATTGCTATTAAGACCGGAAATAGGTCGAAACAATAAGAGACCCGTAGGAAAATTGTAATTCGTGGAAGCAAGGTTTCAAGAAAGAAAATGGCGAGGATAGCAACCGAGAGATATGTTTTTGGCAACAATACAAGAGTGCATTGGCATCAGTATACCTATTAGAATATAAAAAGGGAAGATTGCCTCGACGCGCAAAAACTTATTTTTGAAATAAGATTGAGAATGATATACAATATGCTCGCAACTGTTGATTTCAATAAACTCATGATTTATTCCAATTTAAAATTAATGTTTTAATTATAATATCGAGATATACTTTTTGAGTTTTAAATGACCGAAAGAAATTCAAGATTCTTAACTTGCAAAATGCAAATAACAAAACTTTATCGCACAAATTAGAAAAGATAGAATTTTTTATAATTCTAATTTAAGTATGAGTATTACAATATCGAATATTAAATGTAAATTACGATACAAAGATTTTTCCTATAAAGTATAAAGTAATAAAAGTTGAAATATTCATCAATGTAATTAGAGAAAGTTCTAAAATATTTTATAGACTAAGTAATAAAGCCAACCTTTAAATAAAACAGATTAATTCGATATTGAAACAACGTTCTCAATAATCCCTTAAATATCCGCAGAAACACAAATTCCATCAATGAAATATAAGAGGAGGCCATGGTACACTTCCGATCATCATTCATCACGTAAGGTTCTCATCAGTATTCAGTTTAGGTATTCTGTGGTACGTATAATTTTTTTCTCGAGAGAAAACCAGAGAAGTTTGGGGTGCGCGAAAGGGAGTGATTGTTCATGATGTGGAATTCGACCAGTTTGTGTACGCGATCCCTCAACACGAATGCTGTTCTATATCTGTTGACCTTTTCTGAAAATGGTCATGCCTCAGAAATGTCAGGGTACTACTATCTGCGCAGCTATGAACTTTGGGCTATACATCTGTTACGCTATTGAAGTCATCGCACTATGCGGTGAGTCGCTCGTAGGAGGCAGATGGGATGGAATTTTCCTAGGAATTGGTTCTATGCCCTTTATCTCGTTCGCTTCAACTCATCGAATGCGACTAGTCAGACAGTAGGTATAATCGATAATGGAATAGTGCATGGTACCAGAATATTGCGATCGGGGGCGCAAAATAAAGGCGCGTTTGTTTAATAATAGCTAATCGAGCGACCGATTTTAGATTCCATTCATTTCTGCGAGAATTGATTTACTGAATGGCGAGTTTATTAAGTTGTTTATAGCTTCGGTTATACTGTGAATAGTAAAATAAATTGATGGGTCACTATTACTTTCAATCTTTCAATAATAATTAAAAAATATTCTTACCGATATATGTAATATTTTATAATATATCGTTATATACGCTGTTGACATTTCCAGTTCATTTTATTTTCAATCGAAAGCTTCTAAATAAGATACAGTTACTATCCCGTGCAGGACACAAAGAGAAAGTAAATTAAGCTTCGTGACTCGATTGTAACTTACGCACGTTGAATGTTATACTGTTGTACACGCAATTGCTGACATTACGGAGATTTTACGGGGGCCGAACTTTCGAGCCCGATGAAGTTAACGCTACATTAAAGCGGTGTGCACGATGCATATCGTGTTGCGTAACTAAACAAACACCCACACAATAACAATATTTAAAAACCTAAGTAGATTGTATTCCACCCAACCAGGTTACCATCTATCAACGTAAATCCGCTTGCTCATTAACCTTTAATGATTGATTTGCAATTCCATTGCAATTGTAACAGATTTGCAGTATTTTTTCCCTCACGATCACGAGAAACGTGAACATGCCTTTTGCAAAAAGATAAATAATACCTAACATGTAATTATAATAAATAAGATTTTATATCATGTGAACATTTTAATAATATCTCCGATTTCAGGTATCAAAAAATTTCATATATTCTTCTCTTATTTCTCTCATAAAAAAAGTAACTATTCAAGGATTCGAAATATATAATATTTAACTTAAATTTTAATAACTTTTTGAAATTATGCAAAAAGATAAAAGAACGATCCAATTGCGAAACGATGGAAATAGAAAGTTTATATTAGAACTATAACTATAACATACGGGTTTATATGCACCGTCATGATTCTACCAACGTTTAGAGAAATTTCCACTTATAAGACACAAGTATGCTATTTACTTTGCAGATACTCAGAATAGCGCGACTATAATCCCCTCAAGTGTGATAGCGGCACGCACGCGAAAAAGGGATTGACGAGCGACGGTCGCAAAGTATCGAGAGGGAACATTGATCGATCACTTCTTACGAGCTTTACCGCGACGGTGGTTACCGAGACGATGGTGTCGGCAGCAGCCGTAACCTTGCTAAATTATTGAACGACCATGCTAGACGCCGTCCATGCCGCAGTCATGGGCAATTCCGCGGGATATACATTTCCGGTTCGCATAAAATCGACATGCCAGAAATCGTATCGACGGATGGAGAGACGTCGATGGCAGATTTGAAGTATAGGTACATGCGTATAATAAAAGGAAGGGTGAAAGCAAAGCACAGAATAAAAGAAAAAAAAAAGACAGCAATATTCGCATTCTCTTCCAATTCCCCCAAAATTCCTGTTCTCTCAGAACAGATTCAATACAGCGAAAAATATGCTTACATTTTTTTTCGTCAGATATTAATAATTTAAATGTATAATTATTTTTGTCTGTTCAAAAATTAAAGATAAAAACATCGGAGTGAAATTCTTCCCACTTCTAAAGATAACGACACAAACGATCAAATATAAAATCGTTGAGAATTAAGGCGCGTCAGAGAGAAATTCATTGAAATGCTCGGCGGTTGATCGAGGAGTCTGCATTTAAATAAATTGACATTTTCCGATTCACGTGTGCATAGACGAGACAAGATAGTACCCTACTTCCGTATAATAGCGGCAGAGGCTGAACGTGAAAGAGAAAGAGGGGAGAGAATCAATTTAAAAGCCGTGACTCACTGGGACACGATGATGTAGTTAGCGTGCGGCCTCTCCGCCTCTCTGTCGTCTCTCTAAAAATGATAAAAAGAAGGTGACAGAGAAAGGGAGTAATCCGATAATATCTCTCTTTAGATAATATCTCTCTTTAGCGACGCTCGGGAGCAATGAATATGCGGTAATAAAAGGAAGAGGAAAATTGTAGGAGAGAGAGAGAGAGAGAGAGAGAGAGAG